TTCATGCAGCTGAAGCTGGCTCATTGTAATTAACTGTCAAGTATAGTGAGCACAGACTAGTCACCTGCATCCACCTGCCTGGCCTCATGTTGAATATCTTCCCTTGTACTGTAGAAGACTGCACCAGTACTCCTGAGTTCCAATTATGGAAACAGAAGAAAATTAGGCACTTCCAAATCATCATCATCTCGCTTGGTTTTCTTTGTGGCTGAATTTGACTATCCTCTCATCTCTTTTCTTGTAGAATAGATGTGGAGAATGTCCTGTTATTGTGCTGAATATTTAATTTAGACAAGCCAGGCATGATGGCAGGGTATGTTTTTCCAAGTCAAGATCAGGTGGGCCATGAAGCACAATACCATCAGGGATGCCCTAAGATCATAATAGTCATTGACAGAACTCCAAAATGTCACTATTGGATGGTATCTTAAAGCTAAAGTAGTCCAACTTTCTCATTCTATTGATGATGGAACTAAAATTCAGAAACGTTAAATACTTTGCCAAGGTTATACAGTTGATAAGAGACAGAATCAAGACTATAAGGAGATCTTTTATGGTCACTCTTGAGTGTTCTTTCATCATGAAGATGCCAATAGATACTATGTCTGATATGCAAATGAACTATCTACATCAAAAGTAAAACAATTTCAGCAAGATCTTTAGTGCTGAGTATTAAAAATTATTTTGTAAAAGAGAGCATAGTGTGTAGACTTTCTTCAAAGAACGTTACAAATTAGTATGCAGGAGAAGCCTATGGATGCTCTTAGGAAAACAAACACTTCCCATTGTTCTTTGGGGAATTGCCTGTCATTCTCCCCAAGGAACAATGAACTAGGCTGTGAAGAGACTCAAATGTTAAGGGGAAAAAACTTCCTATTTAAGCTGCAGCTCAAATATCCAAACAAATACATCCCATATAATGTGCATGTGCATGTCTCCGTATGCATATGTTTTGTGTGTCTGTGCCTTTGTATGTCTGTGTATGTGTCTGTCTATATATGTGTTTGTGTATATTTGTATATGTGAAACTTATATTTCTGTATGTTCACATGTCTGTATGCATCTATGTCTATAGGCATGTCCTACATGTGTGTTTATGTGTGTGTATCTGTCTGTGTACACTCAGGCCCCAGGCACAGCAAGCAAGTGTGCCCTTCATTCTGGAGAAAATCTTGGGCTGATTTATATCCTGGTACTGTCCCTTACCAGTTTTGCTTCTTGAGCAAATCACACTGTTTTTCTGAATCTCAGTATTCTTATTTATAAAATGGCATGTGTAATACTCACTATGAAAAAAAAAGGTCAATGTGTTTTTATTCACTTAGCCATTTTAGTAATTAAATTGAATTAATTGCATCTGCACAAAATTTGGTTGTATTTTAGTGTAGAATCTCAATAGAGTTGTCTCCCAAACAGCCAATTTTGGTATCCAAATGTACAGATGGTCCTTATGAAAACATACATTGTTTAATTAATCCTTACAGCAACTCCATGAGTGATGCACAGTTATCTCCACTTTATGTATGAGAGACTGCGTTCTCAAAGTATAGTAATCTGCCCAGAGTCACAAGGAATATTTGTAGGGCTAGGGCACAAACTCACAACTGTCTCCAAAGCCAGTCTTGCAATTACTCTCTCCTTCACCTCCCTTGGCCCAAGGCTGTCGTGAAGAACAATATGGTGGCTATGGAATAGGCTTTGGCACCCTGGTTCTCTGTGCCAGCCAATGTTTGCCCACTTCTCCAACACACTTGTTTTCCTTTGTGTCCCAGGTGACACACAGCTTCTTAATGTCCACCCACCATTCTGCCCCACTGGAGATACTAAGAAGAAGAGGGAGCTGGAGAAAATTCAAACTGGACAGACAGCGAATGCTAGTTTCCTTTAGAAGTGCATGTGCTAACACATCTTAAAAGCACCTGATGGCACAGGACTTATTTCGCAAGTTTTTGACAGTCACTTAGCTACTGCATGCTGCCGCTCCTGGTATTCAACCCAGGAGGTAACAGAAGGAGAACCACTGGGATGTGATTGCTTAATCCCTTCTTAATCTCTGGATTCTCGTGAGTACTTTAATTCTTCAAATATTGAACTGTAAGAATTTGGTTCTCAGAAACATGGTCATAGGAGGCCAACGTACAGAGCTATGAAATCCAGAAAAAGCAGAGGAGCAAAAGACTGCCAGGGGTTTGAAACCTTGAAACTAGTTAGTGAGAAAGAGAAACAAAATCCTATTTACAAAATTATTATTTTTGTTTAGCAAGATATACAGAATCAATATTGCACAGAAAATTGCATAGCCAAAAAAAAAACTCTCAGTAGAGCTCTTTAAAAGCAATTTAATATTTTTAATAAGGCAAATCTTTCTGATCTTCAAGCATTTAGCCATGAAATTTTAAAATCCGATGAAAGTCTGTCTTCAATAAAGGCTGCTTTACAAATTTTATTGTCCATGTAACAACCTAGGAATGCTAACATTCTTTAGACACTAACATTTAATCATAATGACAAATACTGAGCTTTTAAAACTGCCTTTCATGTAATTTAGTAAACTTGGTGCCTTTAAATCATGGGTTTGCTTTTCTGATATGTTGTCTCTCAAAATTGTAAATAAGGCCAATTTACCCAGCAGCCTGCAACTGTGCCTTATTCCCAAGCAGCCATTTAGAAACAGAAAGCACAATATATTGCAGGGCAAATAAGAACATTTGAGAGGTTTTGCATCTCATTTATTAACAGTTCTTCAAAAGATTTAGGCAGGAGTTAGTCCCACCATGAAATGATGACATGATGGCACCAGGAGTCGTGGCAAGGCCAGTCACTCTGTCCTTTAGACAGAGGTGGGGAGCAATTTTCTTCCCTTTGAAATTTCTCTTTCTTGTGAGGACAGCGGGGAGCACATTGGACTACAGTGTTCAGTAGATCTGGGCTCTAAGCTGCGCTCCAAAGTCAAGTTTCCTCTCTGAGACTCAGATTCTTCTTCAATAAGTTAAGAACAGCCATAACAGAAAGAGAGGATTTAATTAAACATAATGTATGAAAGTGTTTGCAAACTAAAATCCATCTTTTTCAAGCAAGGCAGTATTAGCATCTTTATAGTTGTTTCTCTGTGTTCCTGTTCTGACCAGAATCAAATAACATGACTTTGGCCTTGTTGGTAGCACAATCTCACTCACTGTTTAAAGCAGCTCTTTTTCATTGTTATAGACTGGTTATAAAATATTGCCACGGTCCATGAGAATCACAGAAATATGTGAACGAACAAACACAAAGCCCTTTACTGCTAGAAAAGCAACTTTGGCCTTAGTGTGCCTATTGATGGGGTCATCCCAGCCATCACCTGAAATTGCAGCCCCTACACGCACTTCCTTTCTCCCCCAACAGCTAAATTTTTCCCATGACAAGCTCACCATCATACATACATATATTTTATTTTAATTCATTTATCTTATTTGCTGTTTCCTGCATTAAACTGTAAGCTCTGCTTGGGCAGGGATATTTGTTTCATTCCCTGTCATTTACTTTGCACAAAGAACAATGAATGATTGACATATACAAAAATGAATGAATGATGACCAGTCCATGACCGTTACACTAATGCCTATATATCTGCAGCTAAAGAAAACCTAGAAATTATTAGGAATGATTCACTCTAAGGCTTATGGTGCTTTTAATGTTTCAATTCTGATATCTCAAAGCCTATAAAACACTTTGTTTACTTTTAATGTTTTCCATAATTGGCCTTGTCAGCAGTTTCCTATTCAAGGCATTTTTTGTCCGTTTAGTTTTTTCTCTTTGTAAAGAGGGAGTGGAGCTCATGCCTCAGATGCTAATCTTAGATTTATAGAAAAATATAAGCCATAAAGAGGGAGTTTCCCACTCCCACATTGCAGCTTAAGTGCAAATTCCAAATCCACTTTCCTAAGCAGTTACCAACCATTTAATGTTCATAAAATCCCATTGTATACTCGATTGCAAGAAACTAAAACATGATTATAAACAGCAATAACAATAAACAGGCATAAAATTTTTTACCACCCTCTGCTCTCCCAGAACCTGGGAGATCTGTCAAATTATCCTGTGGCAGATTGGAAAGAGGGAGTTGTGTTAGAAGTCACCGTCCAACTGCTAGTGACGCAGTTTCCATATTTTACAGCTTGGGAATCACTACATATTTAGAAAACTCTAGCTTTGTTCATTAGCTCTGACTGTAGAAGGTGAACCTGCAGGGATCTTTCCAGGGAAAGAACCAGTGTAGATGGAACAGAAGAACTAGGAAAAACAATCCCAGGATAGTGTTGCTTTCATGAATTTTTAAGAGGGGCTTTCTTCTATCTTTATACAATCAGACAGAGAGTGGACAAGGGTTGACAATACAGGAAAGGGATACTTCTTTCTGTATTTAATTTCCTCAGGTTTCTGACTCCTTGAGTTTGAAAAACACTTCATTTTGTAGGGTTTTCCTAAATAAAACTCCACATTTTGCTTGTACAGGAAGAAACAGAATGTGATTCTATTTCCATTTCTAGAGCCAGTGCAACCACTTATTTGTTAAATGTTGTTGAAGAGAGCATAAAATGATGCAGATGGCAGTGGTAAAATGCCTTGATAGCTTTCTTTCCCACCTGTGATTTTGCTGCTTTCTTCCTGACCTTCCCTTGTCCACTTTGTGCTGCTTTCAGGGAATTTTCCAGACAAAGCCTCGTGATTGGCTATCAGTGAATTGGAGACACAAAAGGCTCTAAATTTATCTTGTTTATTTCCAGAGAGAAAGATGCAATATAGATGGAGAAAAATGTCATGTTTAAAGACGTTTGTTTCACTTAGATGTCTAATTTAGTCTCCAAAATGTGCAAACATGCAATAAATGCATTTATTTCACTTTTAATTTTAGCATGGAAGCCCTTTGGTGCTTTGCCATAGACCAAGTAGTCACAGTAGGAAAACTCAGCTCAGATCTGGGCCATGTTAGGTTATGACATGCTGAGAAAGGCACTCACCCGCGCTGACAGTGATAGCTTCAATGAACTGTTCTCTCCAGCTGTTGGTCCCAACCACGAGGGCCAGGTTTGTCTTCTTAATGAGCTTGTCCACGGTACTCTAGAAAGGTTGAAAAGAATAATATAATAACTGCTGGGTTGGTTAAGGCCTCAGGAAATCTAAGAGAGTGTTGATTTTGAAACCCCAGAGTTATATAAAGGGTAGCAGATGTTAGGCTCAGAACAACAGTATTGACATCAAACACTGTTATGATTATGCAAACAAGCATGGTTCTTAGTTGGAAACATTTTGAAATGGAAACTTCTTTGTAGCAAATACAAGCCTCCTTCACTGACTAACAGCCAATGAAGAATAGCCTCTGTGTTTAGAATAGCAGATGTTGCAAAAGCCCATCCATTCTCCTTGAATGCTGTCCCAACTTGCTTCTCTACTGACTTCATCTATAGCGGGCTGTCTGCAAGTGAATTAATATATGTTCTGCTCAGCACTACCTGTGAATAGCCCGAAGTAACAGAAAGATTATGAAACCAAAAACTGTTATTTTGGGTTTTTGTTTATCAGTGAAATGCAGCCAGACAGCAGAGTCTCAAGGTGGCTTGTTGCAAGACCATCAATAAATGGACTTTGCTTTGGCTCCTAGTTTGGTCAGCCTGCTGGCTGTTAGAGAATTCCACTTAGAGAATTGCACAACCCTACTTGTGGTGCAAACAAGAATAGTCAAGATAAGACAAGACAAGGTCATTTCTTAGGGTATAGGGCACACTGCAATTTACCTTGTCCTGAATTTCCCCTGCTTTACTGGCACTGTGCTGCATACCCCTTATTTGTCTTTAGAACTTTTAAAGCACTTTGTTTTGTACAATTAGCACTCTCTAGCTTTCTAAATTCAGTTAATGTAACAACAGGAGCGGCCAAGCATTCACAAGAATACTAAGTAAGCAGATGCACCCAAAGCGCTACCACAAATCAGGGCAACTACGGCAAAAGGGGTAATTTCCACAGCATTGAGGCTGCTCCTCCCAGAGAAACTACCACATCGACTAGTCTACCAGACATCCACACTTACTGTCAGAGCATCCTCGAATTTCCACTCATTGTAAAGAGGCAGAAAACACGTATTATTTGTCTTAGGTTAAAATCTGTACATGATAAATGCAGTGTACCTAAATTGTCTGTAGTTTGAGAGAGAGTACGTTATCAGCTAACTGGAGTAAGGAAACTGTGATTTGAGGGGCTTGTAGGAAAGGCCAAAGCAAAGCCAAATCATAATATCAACCATGTTAGCTCAAGAGAAGCCATTGGAAGTGACTTGAAACATTGACAAGATAATAAACATGAAAGGGCCCATCTCCAACTGGCTCACTCTGCATTTGCAACATTATTCTTGGCTGGATTGTATGTCCTGAGGGTGGTGACCTTTCAGCTTCTAGCCCTTGTGTCTAGAGCTGCTGGTGCCCCTGATAAGAGCTCTCACAGTCACTGTTCTTGGCCACCATAACTTGAAGCACATGACACGCATCTGTCTTTCCTCTCTCAACTCAGCTACATCTCATCAAGCAGTCTTAGAATCTTGGTTGACACAAATTCCAAGTGCTATGTAGTATGTAACAAGAAATGACCTCAATTTTTCCCTTATGTAATGGAAACTTGGGACAGCTCTCTCCAAAGGGGAACTCTCTCTTGTGCTGAAGCCAAGGCAGAGAATTCTGTCACCTGGGAGATAAACAGCTGAACAGATAAACAGTTCAACACAGACTTTCCTCAAGAAATATCTGCGAAAGAACAAATTTCTAAGATAAACTAAACATTTATATGTGTGCAAAACCCAGGGTAGATTTTAAACATTAGTTCATGCTGATCCTGCGGGACTGTGTGATAGTCAGGAAGAATCCTAGGACTTAATTTGCATATGAATCTTGTCCTGGAGTGAATAAGGATGAATCTGAAGTTCAGACACCTAGACTCGGACATTGGTGTCTGTATCTGCCTGGAGGGCTCCTAAATGCCAATGATCAGCTCTTCACTGCTCCAGATTTTCAAGAGATTGTAAAACCTCACCCTCAGCCATAGGAGTGAGTAAAGTTGTCCTCAGTCACAACATAGTAAATGAGAGCTTAGTGGACCAAGCAGAGTGGGACATTCATTATAAGGTGTCACCCAGGTTTGGGTCTCTAAAGCAGTTTTGGGAGCTTTGAACAAGTTCTTTAAAACAGCTATGATCTAAAAAAGAAGTTTCTTAGACAAATAATATAAAATCAAAATTGAGACTTGAGGGCACTTCAGAAACAACCCCCCAAAGTACCCTTTAGCTGCTAATGGTAATTGTACTGATGATCTTTGAGGAGATGAGAGGAAATAGTTTATGGAAGCTATTCTAAGGCGTAAGTACCCCAAACAACTGGACTTACGTAAAGAAAATAGGACACTTCCAAAGGTTCAGATAATTGGACTGGTTATCAGAAAGAGCTTTGGATCCAAGAAAGCTTTGCTGCCTGGAAGAGCGTGCCCTGCCTTACCTAAACCAATACTTCTAAACAAAGTTACCACAATTTCACTTCCTATCATGGGTGCATGGAAGGGGAAGGTTATGGATAATTCCATAAGGAAGAACACACAATTCCCCATGAGAACCATTGGAAGGGTGGGGTGGGGGTAAAGCTTGCTTTGGAAATGCCAACTCATAGAATCTCTGCTGCAGCAGGTGACACCAGGCCCTGTGACTCCAAAAGAAAAGAGGAAGAGTGAGGCTGGACACACTGGACAACAGATGGACAGACTAGTCCACAGGAATGGACAGTCTGAGATTCCTGTACTTCTGGAATTATAGGGAACGTGTGCATGCTGCAGCCATGGCTGTGTAACATGCCAGGGTTCCATGTCATACAATGGTGGGTTCTGATGCCAGCATCTCCCTAGAAAGCTTCGGTTCCAGTGCTTATCCCTGCACTCTCTGTCTATGGGAATGAGTCAAAGGAAGTGTTAACAGATTCTCAGTGGCCTCAAAGGGAAAGTTTAATTGCATTTTTATCTTTTAAAAATGCCACTATAATTGCAAAGACATTTTGCTTTCCACCTGTCTCCTATCAGACACCTCAATTTGTGAGGTAAATTTAAAAAATAATTAATGGACCCAACTAAATGTAAAGAGGCCACTATTAAAAAACAAAAAGACCAGATAAAATACTGAAGTTTTCTAAGTTGGTGGCCTGGTTCTCCCTTTTGGAATCATCATTCCGGTTTTTCAAACAGGAGCAGAGTCTGCTTTTGAAAAACAGGTGAGGAAAAAAACATCGCTGTGCTCTGGGTTGGTAATTCTGGAAAGCAGGAGAGGGATGAACTTTTTCATTTCCCACTGCGGAATTGAGGTGTGGCTCTGCTCACTGTCTCTCAGATGTCAGGACTGTGTGAGTGAGAAGGGCTGGGCAGAGTAGGGGCAGAGGGGGAAGCTAAGGATTCACAGGAAGTTTCATTTCAAAGGCTTAAGCTCCACCCCAAGGCCCATGTATTCAACTTCTGAAAAAATAACTTTCATTATCTAGAGAATTGGGAATTCAATTTTATCAGCCCAATTATAAACTCTCTGGTTGCAGGCAGTATACCTTCAGTATGTTGACTGTGCTAAAATATCCTCAGGTATGAAGAGGATGACAACATAAACGACAGCTTGTCAATGGGATGTTCCCTAGAGAGAGATTACCAGCCCCTCCTCCAAAACAAAAGCCTCTTAATTTTCAGCAGAGTAGATGCTTTGCTTCTGACAGTTATTAGCTTTTTCAAATAGAGCTGGGTTTCTTCCACACACAACAATCTCTTGGAATCCACCTTTGCATTTTCCTTGCTGTCCCCTCAGATAGCACCTGCCTTTGGGGCACCTCTGACCTTGTGCAGTGACAGATGCCTCCTGCCAGGCCCTCGTTCTGGTGCTGTTTACTTTACAGGACCCGTTTGTTCCCTACTAACTCTACAATTCCAATTTGGCTCCAAAGGCCTCACAATTAATGAGCCAGTTCCTGAAATTACATCTGCCTCTCTTTCCAGATGGATCTTATAGCTCAGGCCAACACTATGACAGTTTTGGTCCTAAGGTGGGTCTGCCTCCCCAGTGGGCAACGTTGTTGAGCATACCTTGAATTCGTAGGATTCTTCAATGATCACTTCCAACTTGGTATGTTCTCCCAGGATGGGGCGCCCCATTTCTGCAATGCGCCTCTCCTCTTCCTCTTTGCTGGTCAGCGGCTGCTTGTCATCATACTCATCTGTGAAAGAGAGTGAGGAATGTCCTGTTTTATTTGGAAATCCCTGGATCTTACCACAAGAAAACCAAGGAGGAAGGAAGCCCTAATGACCTACTAAATGTCCCTTGGGTGAGATCATGAGGATGGAGGGGAGAATTAGACAGACACTTGTCACATTGTGCAGCATATCACTGTGACAGCAGGTGATTATGTTGCCCCACAATCTAGGCTCATGCAGTTGAGGAAGAGTAATGCACAGGGGCATAGCACTGAGAAAGACTCCCTTGCACATTGTCTGTGCTGAGGGAATCACCCAGCTGCTCCCTGTAACGCTGGCTCAGCTGGCTGTTTGCACACATTCCTTCAGCACAGGACCAAAGGGAAACACAAGTAAAAGCGCTAGAGGGACCCTGAAGGATGGGAAAGTGTGGCCTCCTCCTCTCCATTTTCTAGCAAAAACAGAAAATACCCCAGGCCTACAGAGATGGGAACATGAAATTCTGATCTTAGCCTCCCACTTGCCAAAAGCCCCTGTTGCAAGTTAAGCAGCAAAACATTCATTGCATAATTGTGTAAGACGTCAGGGCTCTAGCGCTTCCTCTCTCTGGGGCAAAGCTGAATTGTGTTAGGAAAACCTTGACCATGTTAATCTTAAAGTAAACAGGGAGGGCCAGGGTGAGTCCTCTAGGGACGTAATACTCACTCCCCATGTGGGCCTGATTATTTCCAGAAACACCATGTGGCTCACACTCCAGGAGAGGCTAGTGGGTGCTGAGAAAATGTTAATGGATCCAAGAGTCCATTAATGAGGGGAAGCTCACAGTTGGCTCTCTCTGTGTGAAGGTCATTAGGACAAATCCCAGACTGAAAAGGCCATGCACATAAGAAGGACAAACACTAGTCCTGTAATTACTCTTGTCCTTCAGGCTCAGGATGCTGGAACAACACAGGCTACTTCCTCTCAGAGTCAAGTGGAATGGATTATCTCCAGGGAAACAGTATGGGTGATATGGGAAGACCTCAGCCCTGATGCCCTCACCTCTAGGACTTCTGGACAAATGGCTGCAACAGAAGTCTGTTGACTGCAGAGACATCCAAAAACAGAGGGCCTTCTTGCCTGGGCTTCCTGCCTTTTGCATTGAGACATCAGCTTTTCTGGAAGTCCACACCTCCCATTCCCTCCAAAGACCTATGGCTTCCCCTCTGCTGAGGAACCCTGCTGTGATGGCTCCATTTGTTGCTTTAGCAATTGCTGCAGAGAATGGTTCCTAGCCCAGTTGCTCACTGTGAGGGCAGGGAGCAGATGGGCTAGAGGCACTGACAGCATTTTACATACTAAGTGTCAAAACTCCAAACAGGAAAAAGCAGAATGTAGCATATTGATTAATTCTTTAGTACACATTTAATAGTGTCTTCCTAAAAGGCTATTTTAAAATTTGCTTTTCTATCCCCAGTGATTACAGGGCACCAAAGAAATTAGATGAAGACTTAGTGATTTTGGTCAGGTCAGAGGCTGCTGAATGTTAGCAGAGGCAAAGGAGAGGGACATGGAGATTAATTTTAACTGTAAAAGTGGTAATATTTTTAATAGTAGGATTGGGAAGTTATGACCCAAAGGAAGGCAAAGATTTCTGGTTGAGGTCTCTTAAGATTTGTCCTTTTGAAATTATGTGTCTAGTCAAGGCTGTTGGCTGAGATACATGAAGTCTAATTTATCCAGTGCTCGTGTCAATCAAAGTTTGATTACCACTGTTTTCTGATCCTTGAACCCATGATAATGTTCTTGGTAGTTTTTAGAGCAGCAGGTGATATTGGTGTCTTTGTTCAAAACTTTGACTGACCATGGATGTCCTGAAGACTTGCATCATTTAAGAATTATTTTCCCAGAAAAAGAAATATTATAACTTGGATATCTATTTGAATTGTAAAGCCATGGGCAGAGAATCTTTATTATGGCCCTCTTTTCTGTAGTTTACTTATAAACAATAAGTTGCTTTTAATGGGATTCAAGGCAATTTAGTTAGAAAAAAATAGATAAATTATGAAAGAAAGGTGATGTGCTAGCATTGTTTAAGTGCAAGCATTTTACAAAATGAAATTGGTTTGGAACATGGTATTAAATAAATGGAAATGGTAATAAATGAAATTAAGTCATACAGTAAATAAAAAGGTTCTTTTCCAATAATCCTTAAGTTCTGATCATGAAGAAATGTTTAATTTGGTGCTATTATATCTTTACCTAGTTCTTAATATTTGGGTTTCTACTATTTTAAGAGAGAGAATATAATTCTCAGGCATAGAGCACTTGTCAGGATCTAGCTGGAATTTAATAGCATTTTTTCCATTAAAAATTTTTTATTAAGGTTATTAAGTATGAAATGTCTGTTTTCCTTAAGTACTAAGTTTGACAGTTGCTATCTCTGACATACCACTTTGACACTTCTTGTTTTATCTGTAATGTGAAGGCACATCCTCATCCTTTCAAAAACATACTTTGGCTGTTATTATCTTTCAAAGGTTTTTAGAGCAATTTTTGTGAAATGATGGATAAGTCAAAAATTCATGTTATTTTCAAATATGAGTTCTGTCGTGGAACCAATGCAGCATAGACAGCTTGAAATATCAACAAGGTGTTTGGGAAGAATGTGGCTAATGAATGTCGACGGTTTGAGAAGTTCCATTCTGGTGATTTTAATCATGAAAATGAGCCATGTGGGTGATGTTAGACCAAGGTGGGTAATGATGAGCTGAAAGCTGTAGTGGAAGAGGATCCATCTCAGCCTAGGCATGAATTAGCAGCAAGTTTTGACATTACTATTCCAACAATATTGGACCATCTGACACAAATCAACAAGAAGCTGGATAGAGGGGTTCTGCATGAGTTAAAGGAGCATCAGAAGAGAAACCATCTCGAAGCTTGCCTTTCCTTGCTGTCACGACATAAAGGAGAACCATTTCCACACTATATTGTTACATTTGATGAAAAATGGCCTCCTTTTTGACAATCGCAAGGGTTCCGCAAAATGACTGGATAAAGATGAAGTGCTGAAGCACAGTCCAAAACCGAATATTCATCCAAAAAAAAGCTCATGGTGTCTGTCTGGTGGTCCAGCGCTGGTATTATCTGCTACAGCTTCATGAAACCTGGTCAATTGGTTACAGTGGATGTCTATTGCAATGTTTATTGCAACCACCAGATGAAATGATTAGGATGCTGGCCAGTAAGCAGCGAGATTGATCAATAGAGACAGGTCAATCCTCTTGCAAGATAACACTTGACCACATGTCACACAAACAACGCTGCTCAAACTATAGAGGCTGGACTTGGAAACTCTCTGTCATCCACCATGTTCACCAGACCCTGCACCAACTGACTATCACTTCTTCCAGGTTTTGGACCACTTCTTGTAAGGAAAAATATTCAATTCTTGACAAGCTGTGAAAAATGCCTTTCCCAATTCCATTGCCACTCGCTCTCCAGGCTTTTTCATTGCTTGTGTAAACAAGCTACCATTAAGATAGCAAAACTGTGTCAATAGTTTAGGTGCATACTTTAATTGTACTGCCTCTTATTTGAAATATAAGAAGTTTATTTTTATAAACTTTTGATTTGAAATTGGACATTTCATATTTAATGACCTAATAAATCATACTTTCTATTTATGACAGATGGTACTGGTTTTCCTTATGCTAGTGACTTAAGGTTTTCTTTTAAAAATAAATTTAATGAGTAAAAAACATAAGGCAATTAAAAAATTAAATTAAGTGAATAATGTAGTTGGTATGCAACCAAAGCAAAAATTGTAAAGGAGGTATGTGAATGACAACAATTAAGGAAATACTGTCTTAATAGATTTTATACTAACCTAAATAAAAGTGAGGTACCTTATTTCTATTGCACGCTATACTCTTGCTCCAAACTGAGTTGGATGTCTTAATACCACACTTTTATCCCATTGTCTATCCACCTGGAAAAGCTTTGCTATCAACATCTGAGTAAATTCTACTTATCTTTCAAAACCTTACCTCTTCTTACATGAAATATCTCCTGGTTGATGATTAGGGATTTAGCAACTATCACTTTAACCTTAAATTAATTCCTTAATATTTATTACGTGTATTGAATATGGATACTTTCATATACTGTTTTTTATTTTTAATAAATTACCTTGACATACTAATGTCCAGCATGTAAAGTTGCTGAGGTATTAATAGAATAGTATGTCTCCTTGCACTTGGAACTACCCTGGTATCTCTTAGGACCTGTTACAAGGTATGGAATGTAACAGTATGTGCTTGTATTTGTCGTGTGACTCTTCAACTCATTGTTAGCAAATCCTCTTATTTGCTCTATCTATAAAAAAGGATCATTTTTTTATTGAGCACATGTCTACACCACGTTAGCAGAGCCACAGACCTCTCCTGCCACCCTCTGCCTTCCAGCAGGAACTCACGTTCTAATGGGAAGAGGCATTTAGATGAACAACTTCTAGTACAACATGCCAAGGACTGAGGGACCAGGGTTGGGGGAACAACAACTCACTCTGCCTGAGTGAGTCAGGGAAGGCTTCAGGAATGAGCAGCTATTTGAAATTGGCCTCGAAGAATGAACAGAAGCTCACCAGATGAAGGTGGTGGCAAGAATGGCCAGGAGGTAGTGGGGTGAGTAAGTGGATTCCAGGCTGAGAGAAGTCAGTACAATGGCACAGTCATAAAAGGGGCAGGGCTATTTTTACTTCATAAGTATCGTGCACTTATATGTGACTGAGAGATGATAGAAGGACAGATCCTATTATTGCTCTACAATAATCCTGACAAATTAGCATTTATGGTCTAGATTTTTGACACTGGCAAAAATGAGAGCTGAATCTATTTTATTTTTTAAACTGTCCTCTCTTTAGATACCTTTTACTGAATAGGGAAATGGCTTAAGAGCATTTTTAAAATTTTCATGATTTACTATGTTTGTTTCCTTTTCACTGTGAGCATTGCATCAAATGTAGGTCATTTTACTATGGTTGAGGTCAGTTTTATTTCCTTACTTTTGCAGAGTGACAACATGCTGTTGTTTTAGTTTTGTTTCTCAATTTTCTCTCTCTCTCTATGTGCGTATATATGAATACTTTTAAAACTCACCATATTTTATTGAGAAGTTAAAAATAAATTACATAACATCATAGTCTTAACCAACCAAAACAATTTAAAGATCAAATGCATAATTAACAGCCACTGTTAAAATCAATATTGACAGGACATAAAACAATCCTGCAATAAAATCCCTAGTGGGGAATCGCTCTTCTCCTGAGTAATTGATTTTACAAACAGCAACAAATGATAAAAGCTAACAGGTACCTGGAGTCTGGGAAAAATAGAAATGTGAAAAAGCTGCTTCTAATGCACTCTGGTTCAAGCTGCATTTTAAAGTGGCCTCAGTGTGAGAGATGAAGGGCTGAGAGTGGGAATCCCTATTAGAAAACAACACAACCCACAGGGGCGATCTTGTTATTGAGATCTGTACCTGAGAAACTACTGTTGGTGTTCTTTAATGTGGTCACAATTTTTAATCCCAACGAACCATGCACATTTTGGAAAAGGGTACATGGCCAGCTGTGGGATAATTTGCTCAAGATTCTTTTAATCCTTCACTCAGAATTGTGCTGACAGGTCTGAAAGCAGAGACCGCTGCACCTGGATGGCCTCTCTGATTGGAGCCTAAGGAAACTGGTGCTTTTATTTCCATAAGGAACATTCTGGAACAACTCTATAGGCAGGGTTTCATGATTATTGAACAGGGGTGTGGGATGTGAGGTTGAGGAAACTCCTGCTGGGTCAGGCAGAGTGTCTTTTACTGCCATGGCCAGGGGTGGGCGAGTTAGGATTAAAGAGCAAACATCCCTCTCCTCATCCAGAAACCCATCAGATGACAGCAGGCTCTAGACCTACACTAGATCTGGGATAGCTGTGTAATCTTCTAGTCACCCTATCAATGTTCCTTTAATTCCCCCATGGAGAAACCCCAGAGATGTACTATCACCTGTGCATATCTGGTTAATATCATGTTGCCTGGAGGCAGGTCAGGCAGGCTCTGGGAAGAAATACAGCTCAGCTTTTAAAGAAACTTCATTATACTTGGGATGAAAAACTCTTGGGTGAGGAGACACATTTGCAAGAAATTTGGTATGTATTGAAACTTGAGAGGGGGAAGCCACTGGATCAAGTTTCTCTTTAAGTCCATGCAACCCCCTCCCTCCACAATGTCTCCTGTTCCGCCCTGACGTGGTCGTGCTGTGCTGCAATCCACTGCACCCCCAGCTGGCAGACAAGCCACAGCGTTATTTAGCAATATTTTAGAGGCGACAGAGCTAAAATGTATGCCTGTAATGTCTCTAACAGCTAAAGAACACTTGAAGGCTGTGATTTCCAAGGGCCGTGATGAAACGAGTACCTGCAAAGGTGATTATAGTAGAGGGAATCGGATGTTCTCTAGCGTGAACTTTCCTGAAGACAGGTTGGCCTAGCAAAAGGACAGGAAGAAAATCAGCAGAATGGATTGCACTGGTTTGGTATCAGAGCTTTGTGGGATTAGTAAACTAAACATCACACCCAGATGCACACATAGCAAGCAATGTTAGTTTGGGGATTAAGTGGTCATAGGTCACCCCTACATAGGTTGAAGAAGGGACCAAGAGATGCGGCAGGTGTTCCATGAGCCAAACCAGACTATGTTAATGAACCACACATCTTATGGTAGGAGGTACAGCCAGATTCCTTCAGGTGTCTGAAATGGAGTATCCAGGCCCTTTAAGTCATTGCTTCCAGAGGCATCATGGAATAGAAAGCACTTGGTGTAGTGACAGGTGTCCTGGTTTTGAAGCCTATTAATGCCAAGATTATAGCCTTGAGTAGGCTATTTCTCCAGTTTTTCCATATGTAAAATGAGGATTATAGAATATGTTCTATGTCATAGGTTTGTTTGAGGGTCAAATAACATAACAGCTGGGAAGATGCTTACTACATTTATTTCCTGGGCAGTCTGAAGGGGAGAATACTACATACAAAGTGCAGGTTTTGCAAGGGTAAGCCATCATCACAACTGGATAAACTAGGCCTAGGGTTTCACTGAACTGCCAGTTCAATGGACTTCCAGCTTCACTTGCTTCTACCAAGAGCTACTCATCCTGGCCTGGGAATCGTGAGACTTGGGACTCAGTGCCAACTTTTCTGTATGTGTAAACTTGGACAAGGCCTTCCTCTTCTCTGAGTCTCAGTTTCCCCAATTGTAAACTAAAGTTGAACTTGAAGGGGCTTTGTTCTTCTATGTTTGCAGCTCTCAGAATTGTTATAGTTTGGATTTCTTACAAAGCCATGGGCCTTATTAAGTCTATTGCATGATGAACAGAATATAATTGGAAGAGTAATATTAAAGAGGTATATTGACTGCTATATAATTTTAATTAATTAGGGAATTCCATAGCTGCATGTCTTAGAAATTTTGGGTGTGAAACATATTGTTTCCTCTCCATATTGAGGTAGAATACTTAATTTATTAAAATATCCATTTATTTTATTTTACTTTTTTTACAGTCAGGGTCTCACTCCTCACCCAGGGTGGAATAGAGTGGTGTGATCAAAGCTAACTGTAGCCTGGAACTCCAAAATATTTTATTTTTTTGTAGAGTTGAGGTTCTCACTATGTTACCCAGCTGGTCGTGAACTCCTGGCCTCAAGTGATCCTTCACCTTGGCCTCTCAATTTGCTGGGTTTACAGGCATGAGTCACCATACCAGCCAAAATAATGGTATTTACATGTTTTATTTTCTTTCTTTAAGGATCCCCCTTAATTTTCATTTGGCTGGAATCCACAACAATGGCATTTATGAGACATATCTGGGCTTTGGACTGAAAAGGGACTCAGTGTATAATTTCATTATGCAGGTAAAAATAAAGGGGTTAGAAAGGGAAGAAACAGAACAGTGCTGGGGGTAGAACCATTATCATATGGCCTTGGACTTAAAAACAGAAGGTGTGGCTCTGAGTCCTTGGATGGGTGACCTGGGTTAGACTGATTAATTCTTTGAACCTTCATCTCCTCCCCATCTAACTAAGGCCAATAAAGTCTTACTCCATAAGGTTTGTAATAAAATGATTTAATGAATAAGAAATACTTTACAAACTCTAATGAGCTGTAATATATAGGGCGTTATCATGTCATATGACTGGAAGGTCAAGGGGAAATAAGATCATAGGTCCAAAGGGCCATTCAGTGAGGCAAGGTCTAGGAACAACCAATAACAATTTGCAAATTCTGAAAGCACTTTTAGAACTTAATGTCCATTGCTAATGAGACTCTGAAATACTGGCATTAGACTGTGGATCAAATGGCTTTTCAATTTCTATATATCCTGCTTCAAATTTAGATTTTCACACTCAGCTGCACAAGTACATGTAAATAAAAGCTACAGGCGAAGTCCAAGGGGTAGATTAATTCTCTGCTGTCCCTACGTCTCAAAGCTTTGATTTCAAAGCCTCAAACTGACTTCAAAGAGAAGCTCGTTAGGGCTTAAAGCTGCTTTTCACTCTGCAGACCTAAGTTTTAGAACTTTCGTCAGGGGCATCAGTAGAGGGTGGATTCTGGGCATTCTAGCCTGTTTCAGGAGAAGGGTCAAGTAAAGTGAAACAGCTTCTTGGAAAGGAGAAATGGACAGGCCAATGTAGAAATTTCCAGAGAGTTCTGGACCATTCTCTTGTTTCTAACTGTATCAATTTCAAGTCTTGGGGAGAGGTGGCAACAATAGAAAAACTGCTATTTCAGATTAAAGTTTCAGCCATAAGGAAGAACTTAACACACTACATGAAATGACAGAAACCTTTAGAAGAAGTGATTGTGTCATCTTTAATGCAAGACGTATAGTCAAAGTAGGAAATGTTGGACATTTCTGGACATATATTATAGAAATTGATATGAAGAATTTCTGAGAAAAGAAAACTAAGGTTCTATTACCTGAGGTACTAAAAGGGAAGATAATTCAAGTGACATAGAAGGAAGGGCCTAAAAACAAATTCTGGACATATTCAATGATAAGGAAAATAGAAAGATATCCAAACCCATCAATGCATCTTAACAGGTCATTCTATAACCAAATATTTTTCATTGTCAGGCTGCATAGGACTAGATAGCATACTATTTCTACAATGGTTGATTTTAAAATAATAATGACTTCAATGAGTCATGAAGGCTGGCTTACTAAGTTTCAACCTTCCTCAAATTTCCCAAGGATAACTAATTGATCCTTAGGTGACAGAATCAGAATATTTATAAGAAGACTTCAATGAGTTAAAATGATGGAATGAAAAAAAGAAGACAAAAGTTTTTTTTAAAAAATGTAAATTTCTGCACTCATATTAAAAAATAACCTTCCATGGTACAGAATTGGGGAGATATGAGGAGATATATCAAATATGTCAGATTTTAAAAATCCAATGTGAGGACTTGTCTTGTTTAACAATTTTATCTTTTTTAATTATGTGTCTCTGAGAGTCTACTAATCATTTTGTCATTAGGTTCCATGTCTAGAGAGCAGCAGTAGATAGCAACAACCGATGTGAAATTGCTCATATTTAGAAAATTCTACTTGGACAAAATCATGTTGAAACTACTTGCTCATGAGTTTACACTAACAGTGGTTTAAGTTAGCCCCAATTCCTGCCATGGTGTTTTCATTATTAGAAATTTTGGAAATTTTTTCTTGTAAATATTTTTGTTTGGATCTCAGATTTCAAATTTTGATATCTGTACAATATATTGGAAAATTTTGATATTTGCACAATCTATTGGAAAATGCCAGGTAGGCCATTGGAGACATCTTCAACCTGCAGCTTCAGACAAATTGGAGCTACTGCTTAAATATTTATTTCCCTCTCTAAATCTGCATAGATGACTCTGAAAGGCGTGAGGAGACATTTACAGACAGAGAGTGCTGTAAGGAAGTATCTTCCTTTTGTACACAAGACAATATCTTTAGAGTTGTGCTAAACAATGGAATCAACACAGGCTGAGTATCATTCTGAACTTAAGAGTTTTAAACTACTTTATTGGCATTTTGAGTTTTTATAGAGCATACTGTAATAACTTCGAGTGGCAGAAATATTACTCATTACCATGTTATTAATATGAAAACCTAAGTCCCCAAAAGAGCAGCTTGGACAGGTATGGTGGGATGAGGGGAAGGGACTGCTCTGCCCTCTCCCAACATGGCATTATCTATTACTAGGACCCTATGCTTGGGCCACACAGAAGTTTTGGATGTCAGCTCCTATGTTTTTTTGAGGCCAGCAACTGTGCCTTATTTACTCTGGTACTCTTTGGAGCATTGAGGATCACTAGTGCTACATGAACATTTGTAAATTAACCAGTGTTAAAATGTGAACAATTACAGTTTCACCATATGAATTGCTTATCAATAAACACAACACACATGTTGTTAACTTGTAAAATGTTATATGTGTAAAACCAGCAAGAGCACACCACTGCTGCCGTTAAATGTTAATGCAGATTATATGTTTGTTTGGTTTGAGTTTTTAGGGGGATATTTGGGGAAAAACAGAGACACATTTTTAAAAAAAGTCTTACCATACAGGTATTTTCCTTCATTAAAAGCAAATAAAAATGAGAAATTATTTTTTAAAATGAAATAACATATGGTGAGGAGAGTAAAAATAAAATTAGCATTAGACTTTAAAAATTCATACCTGTTATTGTGAAGCCACCTAAAAAAGAGAAAACAAATAATTGTTACAATTTAACTTACACTCTAAATAACAAATACCAGTGACATCAGACACCCACCCACAGTACAAAAGCTCGCCAAATTAGATTTACAATTAAGAAGAATAGGAAAGCATCCATTCATGACAGCATCACTAATCATTCTTTCAAGATTATGGGATTTAGTGCACAAACAATTCTTGTGCATACTTAAGAAATCACTGATTTCTTAAAAGGTTATATACTAAGTTAAAAATGTAATATAAACTATTTGACCTTAAAAAAAATGAGGGCAATGGCCCTCAACAACAATCTTGCTTGCAAATCAATAGAAATAAAAGTCAGAGAGCTATATTATATCATCTGACAGAAATGGAAAATAACCTAGAAAAATGGAAAGGAAATGCAAGAAATGAAATGCTTACCAAGCTCATTCAATAACAGGGCTGTGAAGGAAACAGACAAAGACAAACACAGAATAAGAGACCAAATGAATAATGAAAGTAAGAGGAATATCAGCAGAAAGAAATCCAGGCAGATCTGATTAGAGCAGTAGGGAGGCACTGCTAAAAAATTTGGTGCACCCCAAGGAAATGTGGCATTGGGAATATTTCAGAATAAAAAATCCCAACAGTTATTTCTTCAATTGTGTGTGATTGAATACATACATATATTTGTATATATGTATGTAAACTTATATATATGTAAACTTATATATCATTTCTTTATATTTAATAAGACATTTCTACTACGTATGTTTATACATAGTGTACATATCTAGTTTACCAGTAGATACAATGTAGTTTATTAGTAGAAACATTGTATGAAATTAATTTTCTACTCGATTTGAGTGAGTCTTCCATTTTAAATATCTAAATTAAGTAGATCCAAAATATGGAAATCTTAAATCACCCAGGATCTTAGATATTGTGTATTTTATTCAATGAGATCTGGTGAAATATCCTGGGGAATTAAGTCTATTTTGGCTGCTCTGCGGGAAGGGGACTTTGGCCCAAGGTATAGCTCTCTCTCTTTCTGACTGTTCTAGTTGTATGATCTTTTGGCCACCAAGTATTTCTTATGGTTTTTAAGTCCTTAAAGTTTCATAGTTCCAGGAATGAATGCTTATTTGTGTCCTCATCTGTGATTTCTGCACATTATCAGATAACCAGAATCCTTCTAGTGAACATATACTTCCACGAAACTGACGGGGGGGGGGGGGGGGACTGGGAGGATGTATATAATTTGTCTCTCAGTTTATGTGCTTTAAACCCAGACTGTCTGTAGCACTTTAGTAAAAGCAACCTGGCTAAATGTATCCAATAAATTACTTCCTGAGTTGTAGATGGGAATGTTACAATTACTTTTTTCGGCCTAGTTTTCTTTCTAATGATAGCAACATTAAAGAATACTTTCCAAAATGAGTCAGTAATTTACTTATAGTGACAAGAATCCACTTGGTGGGTATGAAACTGGATAGCGCTATTAAGGAATTTTAATTTATTGTTACACGATGGCATACTTTACTGAAACGACAAGTGAAAGAGCTGTATCCAAGATGCTCTTCCTTGAGTTAAGAGGAATAAATTTAGAAGTAAGTGCTTTTTTCTGTATGTTAATGAGACATTTTGATCCCATCTTTCTGAGAAATCAGTGCAATTTTCTGGTCTCTTTTCCTTCTGTCTGCTATCTATGGAGCATATTAAATAGGCTGCATTAAAATGGGTCCCCAGTGCTCCTTTCTCCGTCACTCTAAAGGCTCTTGTTGCCATTTTGAAAATGATTAAGTCAGGGACACACACTTTTTTAAATCCTCTGATAGATTCTGAGGCCAGTGAGTTCTCATAAATGTGAGATTAAATTCTCCCAAATATTGGATCTATTGGAATTTGTACTATATATTTTATTTTTCCACCCTACATATAAAAGTATAAATTTCATTCAAAGTGGTTCATGTCATCATCTCTTATATTGCTTTCACCAATTGTTGGTATGCACTTAGTAAATGCTATTAACATGTGGTATGCTCATTTTACATATATAAACAGGATTCCTTTTAAAATGGCCATATTAGAAAATAATTATAGGAAGTTGTAGTAATAATTTGGAAGAAAAATCATCTGTAAAGATGATAAAAATTCCTGTTCTTCTTAATAAATAAATATAGGCCACATAAAATAGACATGAAATTAAAGATAGGAAGGAAAATTGGTTTCTTTCTTCTAATATTTTCTAAAAGTATAAGCATAAATTAACAAAATCTAGTTATGAGGATGCTGGTTTTATTTTTTATTTTCATTGTGTGTGTTAAAAATTTATTAATTCTATAAGAATCAAAAGATTTTGGAGCATAAACTGGATAGACCTTCAGTAAGGGTTACATTCTTACTGAAGGATCATGTTCTTCTGACTAAAGAAAATTGATAACGGCTATCATTTTGCATTTATAGTACCTTTTAAATGCCATGTTTGATGATATGAAAAACATCATACCAAAATGAGAATATTGATAACTACTTGTTAAGGATTTTTATTCTTATTAAGTTTTTTTTTAAACTGGGTTCTCTAAAGAAGCCTAATTATTGAATATTTTTGAAATTCTTTATTAGTTGCCATTAGACTCATCTACTACTGCTAATTAGTATTAAGTAGATTATTTTTTCCTTCCAACTTTACTGATATATGCTTGAAAAGGTATTAAGCAGTCTTTATCACTAACATTTTAGGGAAGATTTAATAATTGGAGCAACATTTTAGAATGAACCCCGAGGAATAAAAAACTAAACACATTCTTTGATAGCATCATTTCTGAATTATGAAATATCTTCCCAGTATTATTAAATCTGGTTGCAGTCAAGGTTAGTTGGCATTTGCTAAAGGGAATGGGCATTGCTTGGTGCACTTGTGAGTTAGGGGAGGGAAATGAAAAGGCTAAAGCTTCAAAGGCAATGAAGTATAGTACTTAGAAGCTGAGGAAGAGGAGAGAGTTAAGTGTGAGAGTAGGGAGACACGGAGAGAGAAGAGTACAATTTCTCGCTGGTATGTCTTTGTATACTCTCACACCTTTCATTCCTCTTCTTATCCATTTTGGTTCCTCAAGCACAAGGGAGAAACTGCACTCTTTCTCATATTCCTCATGGTCAAATATTCTAATGGTAATGATCTTCCTGTGGGAACACAAGACAAAGGCAAAACAAATGGTTGGAGTCACACGCTCATGCTCTTGGTGTCCACCAAGCTGAATGTTACTGTGATGTTATGGAGGGAAAACTGGCAGCACATGGACCTCCTGAAGTATGTAAAAGGGCATCATATGTACTCTCAACTGGCCCCCATTAAGTTTTCATTGCTAATTCACCACTTGCGCAAATTCTTCCTGCTTTGGTTAGTACTCGGTAGGTATCCCAAATTAGGAAGATACATAAATTAAAGTCAGCATCATTTTGGCATTGCATGGTATCTGAACCAACTTTTCCAGAAATGGAAGTTTAATCGACTGCACTGAAAATTAATCTCTCAGACTTTAATGCACGGAGTGGCCAAAATTGGCCAATGTCACTACAGGTCTGCCCACCGTGGCGCAGCGCAAGGTCTATGCCCTGTTACATAGGTGGAGGGATGTGTGCGCTGTAAGTCATGTTCTGAAGAGTGCAGGCTTCCAGGGGTGGCACAGGCCAGCAGAAGCTGTTGGGCTCAGCCCTGGAGCAGCTCCCCCACCTTTCTTCTCACTCATCTCCACCAGGCGGGGCTCTCCAATCTCAAGGAAGAAGGTCTTGTTTTTCTCATACTCCTCATCATCAATTACCTTGACAGATATTGTTTTGCTGAAACAGAGAAGAATAGAAATTGACGAACAAGGGGAAGAGGAAAGAGAAGAGAAGGAACATAGAGAAGAGGAAAGCAAGGTTAACGAGTTGCACTTCCAGACACACAGCAATCGAGAAACTTCTGTACTGTGAGTTTTTTCTTCAAGAATGGGTTATCAGATAGGTTTGAAAGTTTGGAGAGGTCACCCAATGCATAGCTCCCCTGCCCGGGGCCATTGAATTATTTTGGGCAAAATATAGCACTCAGTACTGATAGATTTATCACCATCATGAGAAGGAAAAGCAGAAAAACACAGATCATAATGATAAGAAGAGAAAAATATATTTATTTAGCGAATGCCTTAACCATCAGATTGTCTAAACTGTGGTCTGGAATACACTCTTTTAGAAGAAATCAATAATTGTATCAAAATATTAATGGAGGTTATCTCTGAGTGATGGGCTTATGAGTTATTTTTTCTTTCATTGTGCTTTACTATATTTCCATACATTTTTATCACGAAATTCTACTAAAGTAATAAATGTACAAAAACATCACAAAAGAAAAGATAAAGTCTTTTATCTTACCCCTCCCTGTGTCCTAGAATCAAACTCTTATTCAGGTTAGTCAGATTGTCTTGCCGGGGCACAACAGGAAGTTGTTCATGTTTTGTTTGCCTTTCTAAAGATGGAAGCTGTGGCCTCCCAACAGCTGTTTTGGAAGTGGGGTGGTGGCAGGTGGGAGTCATGATGTGGTTATTTTCATCCCTTCCAAAACTGAGTTTTAACTTTCACTAAAATTGCTATTTACACTACTTTCAAAGTCTACCGATATGACGAGGTATTCCGATAAGAATTCTTCCCATAATCTAAACTTCAGCAGTTCTTGCCCTATGATCCTATGGTTGTGAGTGACTGACAGGCAAGTAGACAAATGCAAATATTATGCAAATTCCAACTTTCTGTGAGCAGCCTTGATGACTCTGAAAATAAATCAACCTAAAGTTACCTCAATTAATAAGTGCTTAAACATTTCATATATTATAACTTACTTCATCTAAACACTAATTTGTCCTTGAAAATTTATTTTTCAATAACATTGGCCAAGAACATTTCTGATTAAAGTTTTTGAAACAATCAGTTTGTCTAGACACAAAGTTTTAATGGCATACCACAGAGAGTCTTAATTTTGGTGGTGTTTTCCAGGTCTTTGGGAAGGAAATTGGTTTATAATTTTGTTTCTATTTTATTGATCAAAGCCATCAGGTTTCATTTGGACCTATACATGCTAAAGACCATCAGTTTTCTTTCTTAGTATTAAAGGAGGCATAGATAGAAGTTGCTTTTAATTCTCTGAATTTCCCATCCATTAATGTCAAATGCTTAAGTCTTGCTTTCTTGGCTTAGCATTATAGAAGTGAGACCAACTGATTGGTTCTAGTCCCCTGAAGCCCCATAAGTACTCTCTGTTTCTCAGCTAAAGAAAATCCCTGCATGAAGCTCATATCCCAATTTCTCACTCCTAAGAAGTTAGAGCTCATGAAACTACCTTTTCTATCTCAGCTCTGTCCTTAAGGACTGAAATACTTATGCTTGATGAGCATTTTAGCTATAAATGACAAAAGTAACAATCATTTTTTAGAGTAGTTTTAGAGTAGTTAGATATTTACAAAACTATCAACAGTTTGACAAAGTCCAGTTACATGTATCCTATGAACAGTTCCTGCCTAACTTTTAGAACTATGTTTTTGGAATTCACATATTTTTTTTCACATAAAAAATTAACCTCCCTTGAATAAGCTGGAATATTTAATTATTCCCCAATTTCCCCAAAATTCAAAATGTCAGAGAAAACATAAGAAGACAGATGTAAAGAATGATGATATTTGGACTTTTTATTTCAGAACTGAATTTGATGTTGTAAGATATATCTATCTTACATAAAATATCTATGTAAGATCTATATTTTTCTATGGGTCAAATTTAACCTATAAAAATATACCAAATGTCTCTTCTCTTTGTCATTAAAACTCAGGCATTTTAGGTATTTAATTTCCTTGTTATAGTCTTGCAACCTTAAAAAGTAGTTGCACATTTCTACTAAAACAATCAGTATCATGCAACTAAGAATGGGATAGTATTGATGGACATTGAAAGGGCTGTGCTACTGTCCGCTGGACATGATGGCCCAACAGTCATTATCAAGGCACTTCATTGTAGGGTGCATCAAATACTCCCACTGCAAGAGAGTCAGGTTGCAATATTCTTGCTTGTGTTACTTACAAATATTTGATGTTATATTTCTCCATCTTGTCTTCCCAACCCAGCCTGGATCTCATGACATATTTTATTGGATTGTAGAAACAAACGAAGCACAGTGGGGATGGCAGAAGTCACCTTAGTCACATTATTAATGGAGTGAGTGTGTAGGAAAGGTACCAGTTTCACGCCCACAGAACAATGTGACAACATAGTCACATATAAATATAAACAAGCAAACAATCTATTTTTTTTTTACCTTTGGTGAATATCATATTTTAATTCTCTATCATGGTAATAGCTTTATTTTCTATACTGAGTAACTTATGAGTGTGAGAAACATAATTATACAGCCCCATACAATTTGTTTGTATAATAAAATTAACATTTACCATGTATCATTAGAATCTCTATTCACTAGAATCACAATCCTTAGAAAATAATTAAGTATTAGATAACTAGGTAACTAGTAATACTAGAAATTCGAAGATGAAGAAAAAGAAAAAAAGTACTACTGTAGATGCCTGGCAAAGACTTCTAAAATAGATGGAATTTGCATAATGGCATATCATTTCAAAATCATTAGTAATAGAATCAATAATGTCCCTGACAGGAGAAGCTATTAAATTATATATTGATTTAGCTCCTCTTGCACAGTAAAGCTATTAATAGAAAACTTGATTATTAAAGGACATTTTAGTGGGTTTAAAGTGGCAGGATGAAGTCAGTCCTTATGAATTAGCCCTTTAAATCAACAGAGTCAAAAAGTAGAAGGCATTGGTAATGTTCACCTCTTGTTTCAAAACAGAACTATTTCCCTTAGCAAAGGTGAAATAAACCAATGTAATTTTTGAAAGAATATACCCTTGGGAGGCCTTCTCCTCATTTTCCCAGAGCCTAATGTATAAAGGATACTGTGGCTATGTCTTCTATCACGGGGGCTGTTACATGGGATGGGGTTGGCTTAATGAAGATGCCAGTTATTCTGGCTTGATAATCAGCAAAAGCATGCCCTGTTCCTCACAGTTTTGCAGTAGAACCACAATCTCAAGGACTGAATGGACCTCAAGCAGTTTCCAGTCTTCCAGTGGATTGCCACACCAATCCCATGTCAACAGGCTTTTTGCCTTGTCACAAGGACTCCATCTCCCTGAGGACACAGATCCATGTTGGCTGTTCTGCTCTGTTTACCAGTGGAAGCAGTGAGATACTGTTGTCACTTCTTTAAATTAACAGGTTAACAAAAACAAGACTACAACAATTGGGTAGATGTAACCCTTCATCCAAACACAATTCTTGCACTATTATTGCACTGATAAGTAACAAACAGAAAAACTGGTGTCATGCAATTTTAAACTACAATGATTATTATGAAGAAGGTTGGGAGAACTCATTTCTTACATCTCTTTAAGTGTGAACAGCATTCTATAAAATTGTATTTCTTGGAATCTAGCAAAGCAGTTACAAATCTTATGATAACATTAAGATATTTCTCAATGTGGCCAAAATTTTTATGAAGTGCATTTTGGTTCTACTTCTTAAGAAATAACAAAATTGGGTAAGAAAGATCAATTTATTTAGTGGAAAAATACAGATCATCCTTTTTGATAATCTATACTTTACTTCTCTATTTTTTATCTGATGGGTCTCAAAGAACCCGAACACCTTCAAACAGACTGACAAGGAGTCCTATATCTGGTGGTGACTCAGGCAGACAGTCGGAAAGGAAAGAAAGGTGGCTTTATTAGTGGTTGAAAAAGAAAATCTCTTAAAAATGTATTTTCGTCTCTCATTGTTAAGCTGAAATGGTATCACAGTCTCTTTTTCAATATAAGCCTCACTTTGTCCTTCTGAGGGTTCTTCCCCGTAAGGCTGCCCTTGATGTTTGGGGAAGATGAGAAGAAGATAAGTTGGAGGATGAGAGAGAAGAGACTCCTTTCTAAATTCTCACACAAAAGATTGTAGTGAAGATTTTGCATATTTAGATGCTGCAGTGGCTTTTATTTTAGTATTTTTTTTTTTAATTTTAGTATTTTTTTTTAAAGATTCACCCTCTCTTTAAGCATCTGCTTAAAGAGGTCAACAGAATGATGGGCACTTCACATTTCTTAATTCACAGATCTTCAAAACTGCCCTAGAAGTCATTTCTAGGACCTATAGCTGTCAGCGAAAACAGTGGCTCTCAGAGAAGTTAGTAATTCCCAAGGTCACAAAGTGAAGCTCCTGTGACTGGCTCCAAGGACCAATAACTTTCAATTATATGACTCAGAGTCAACCACCAGGTCCCTTTTTCACTCAACTGTGCAGTATTTTATGGCCACTTTAAAGGATCTAGATCATTATTTTAAATTAATACAGAGGTTTATTGTTTCCTCTTTGCATTAACAAAGACTGTATGAACAATGATGGAATTTCAATTCTATTTTTAAAAAAGATGGCAGCACCTATTATAGTCCATGATTGCTGCCTTAAAAAGTTAAATCCTTGAGGAGATAAAGGTTTAATTGAAAAGGGACAAGAACGTGTAGGGGCTCACCAGCTCTGGGGACTTGGCATAGCCAGCCAGCAGCCTCAGTCTCAGCCTCACCCTTCGTGAGAAGCGTGTTAGAATGGCAGAATCTCAGGCCTCATCCAGACCCGCACAATCAGAATGTGCATTTTAACAAGATCCCCAGATGACGCGAATGCATGTCCAAGTCCGAGAAGCACCAATCTAGAGTGGGCAGTGGGTTCTTTTATTAAGTTGGATAATAAATTAA